GTGTAAAAGCTTTTCAAAAATTGTGAACATGTTCTGAAGAAAGTGTAGTCAAAATGTAATGTGTTAGTTTGGGGTAGAATGTGAGCTCGATGCCGTTAGGAATCGTATGATATTGAAGCCATATAGAGGGTGGGTAATGTATTAGTTAATGGTAACAAAAAATTTTTATGTATATAAAGCAGAAATGAAAATTTCATTTTTTATAAAAATCGGGCGATACATTTTGGGGTACTGTACATTATGATTTAATAAATCTATTAGCTTAGAATCATAAATCTTGTTTTTTTATTGGTTTTTGTGTTATTATATTTTAAAAAGTGTTCACAATATTCTGGGAGGCCACTGTATTTTATTGTAGACTAGTTAATTTTATCGCGTTTGAGCAGCAGTCAATAAATCAAGCAAATTAATCTTTTATTCAAAAATGAGTTTTTAGATCTGTTGGTACGTAGGTGAGATTTCGAATTCAGCTTAAGGTATTAATTAAAATATCGGTACGGTGTTTTTACATATAATTTTAGTCCTGACTAACCCTTAATCTAATCCTAATCTACGAAATTCAATGATATGAAGCACGTAATAAATATGTATTTAAAATATCGGTACGGTGTTTTTACATATAATTTTAGTCCTGACTGACCCTTAATCTAATCCTAATCTACGAAATTCAATGATATGAAGCACGTAATAAATATGTATTAAGGGCTAGTAGGTTAGGGTCATTGTTAGTGCTCCAACCGGGGGTCGGGTCCAATTCGTGACCTGACCCGGAACGCACATTTCGGGTCGGGTCAAATTGGAGTCAAACTCGACCCGAAATAATTCAAGTCAGCCTAAAAATCATTATTTTTCGGTCAATATTATTTGGAATTAAACGAAAATTTGTGGGCATATACACAACTACATTCCGAACAACTCTACTTAGACACCAAATACAAGTGTCTTAGTAAAAAATAAAAGTTATTAACGAAAAATTAATTTACAATTTTTGGATCAAACCCGATCCGAATCCGAAATTATCTCAAATCCGATCCTATTCGAACAGAGCTTTAATGAAGATTTTATTATAAAATGAAACTTGTTATTGCAAAATACCAAATAAAAATTTAAGAGTAGAGTATTTGTTTACAAAAATCTATATATGAGCATTTTTTAAAATAAGTAATTAGCACATTTAGGCATATAATTAACTTTATCAGGTACTTTTTTGCTGATTTATATAAACAAAAATCCCATTTTTAAATTCAATTGGAAATTCCAATCAGTTAAAATTTTATTCTATTTAATAAAAATTTTATATTAATGAAAATATTTGTATATATATTTAAAGATGAATTTATTTGTAATATATTACATTAAAATTTTGTAAAACATCAGAAAATAGAATCAGCCAGAACCAGCAACTTTATAACATGCCAAAATTAAATACAGTACAAAACTCCTTAACCAGCAAAAAAATACAATTTTTAAAAGTTTTTCACATAAAGAATTAAAATAATTAGGAAATTTTTTTTAACATAAAAAGATGTAAGAAAATAAGAAAAATAAAATTATAAAAACTTTTTGTCAATTAATAAAGTTTTAATAAAGTTGAATTCTTTTAAAGTTAGTTATTATTATTAATAAAGATAAAAATTTGGTCAGTTTTAAATCTAATTATATGATAAAAGCAGATATTTCTAATTGGTTAATAAGTTAAAGTTTGAAATAATATATTTTATTATTAATAAAAAAAGAATTATAATTAATCAGACTAATTATTATATATAAGATCTATAATAAAAAATTGATCACATAGTACAATATTTGTTGTTTAAAATATCTTGAAAAAAATTAGTAAATATATATTTTTATTAATTATATTACAAGTTCTAATTGAATACAAATAATTTTTATCACTGATTGATTAATTATATATCAGATTTTCTAAATTAATCAATAAAAATATATTAATTTAGCAAAATAAATTTGCTACAAGAAATTTAACAAGATGAATAATATAAAAAATACAAAAAATAAATGAGTAAATCTGGCTTGAAACACTAATAAAAAATATTAAAAGACAATTTTAAAAATAATCTATTCTCCAGCTCTAATTTTAATTTTGATACTAAAACTAATTTTAATATTTTTAATTAATTAGAATTTGGAAGAGAAAAATTTAACATTTTTTAAATAAATCTAGTAACAAAAAAAAGAAATTAATCACATAATAAAAAAAATTGATAACAAAAAAAAGTTGGAAGTACACAAAAAATTGGTAATATGATTATATAATAGAATATAATTATATACTAAAAGAAAATTTGGTAACAAAAGAAAAAAGTTTGAAGTATAACTATATAATATAAAAAGAATTGGTAATATAATTGTATAACAGAACATGAATATATAATAAAAGAAAAAAATTGGGAAGTTAATCATGTAATAAAAGATTAGTAATAAAAAAAGATTAAAAATACTATATAATGAAAAAATGATTGGTAATACAATCATATAATAAAAAAAAAATTGAAAGCATGAAAAAAATATTAGTAATATGCTTGCATAATGGAATATAATTATATAATAAAAGATTGGTAATGAAAGGAGTATAATTATATAATATAAGAAAGATTAATAATATAATTAAAGCTCTGTTCAGATCAAGTTGAATCAGGTTTGAAGTTAATCTGAACTGATAATTTCAGATCAGGTCAGATTCAGATTAGATTGATCCAAAAATTGTAAACTAGTTTTTAGTTAATAACTTTTATTTTTACTAAGATACTTGTATTTGATGCCCAAGTAAGGTTATTTAGAATGTAATTGTGTATATATCCACAAATTTTCGTTTAATTCCAATTAATATTGAATGAAAAATAACAATTTTTAGGCTGACCTGAAATATTTCAGATCAGATTTGACTCAAATCTGACCTGATCCGAAATATGCATTCTGGATCAGATCACGGATTAGATCTGACCTGGTTGGAGCACTAAACATAATTGTATAATAAAAGAAAGTTTCTCTTTACTTTTACATATATGTTGGAATGAGGCCAAGCCTGTCCTGTCCATTCCAATAATGATTTCGCAAACTGAATGTCTGCATTTTTTTTAGTTGGATGAGATATTTGGGATAAAATTGTTATTTAGAATAGTGAAAAGATATTTTATAAATGTTGACAAGAATGTTTTATATTTATCTCTACAAACCTCAGTAGTTTTTCATTCAAATATATGAAAAGATTAGACGTGGCATTCATTCCTTGAAGATAATTTATGAACTAAATAAAATCCTTACCAAAACTTGAAATACATTGTTACTTACAACAAAATGATCGTAGAACCCCGGTCAAGTGAGCTTTAACAGTCAGTGCACTGTATTTTATTGGTCTCGACTATTATGATCACAATTTCCATTGAATGAGCCATCTACTTTCATTAGTATCGTTATAGAGGGTGATGAACGAGTATATAGGATTTGTTGGGTGCGTTTATTACTCAAAGTATTTCAATTACGAATTTATATCGTTATCGTTATTAATTCCATGAAATGCAATGTCCAGTGACAAATTATAGGTCCTTAACTAATACGTATATTGTCGGATTGATGGAAAGTTCCCTTCTTTGTGCAAAGATCTTTTAGAAAGTATTCCAGTTATAGCAACGCTATTTAAATAACAAAAGTAGAATACTTGGAATTTAATTTCAATTAATATAGTGAAACAGGTTGATCTTTAAAGTGTTTAATAGGGAAAAACTTGATTTTTTGTTATTTTCCTTAAAAACATGTGTAACTATATTTTATTAATACGTAACATGTAATACACTGGAAGGGACATGTCCTATGACCGATACGTACGTAGTACCGTTACATGTAAAAGTAACAGTTGTACCATATACATGTACGTAGTTGTATACGTAACTCTTTGTTTAAGTTCCTTATTTATAACGATGATTTTGATTGTTTAATTTCTTATTTATACATGTATTTAGACGAGCATTCATAAGATGATTTTATAATTCATGACATAGAAAAATAATTAAAAATGTTATCAATTTCAATGATATGTTTATACTTAATGTTCGTTATTTCAATGTCAAGCGCATCCTATCTTGAAGAAATACCTCGAGCAGAGCCGGGATTATTAATTGACAACAAGATTATCATCTTTGATAGTCTCGACTTTTTAACTACTCATACGTTTTCTTTTGACCTTTCTAAAGATTGGGATACATCTACACCAGAATTTATAAAAATTGATAATTCGGGTTCTGCACCGATGTTTTATTTAACTGCCTTTAGCGCACAGAAAAAAGACAACCACTCAGTAATATATGCTTTTGGTGGGGGTATTGTAAGTTTATGCAAAATGGATGTTTAATTTATTTGAAAGTTTTTAAAATTATACTTGACATTTAAACATAAAAATAGCCAAACAACGGAAATCGTTCAGATCTTATTGTCACAGACGACTTTTATAAAATTGATGTCAGCACTTCGCCCTTTTCATTTTTGCGAGTAGATTCCTCTCTTCAAGCTCGAAGTTCCCTGTCTTCTGTCATTGATGACAAAGGAAAACTTTATATATGGGGTGGAAATACTCAATATATAGATAAAACTATGTATATATTTGATACTTTTGGTTCAACATGGAACCAAATTCTACCTTCTTCTGGTTATGTTCCAGATCAAAGAAAACGTTATTCTTCAACTTTTAATGATGGCAAAATTTATTATATTGGAGGCACTTATCTAAATCATGAAGTTGCTGATATTCGACAAGTAAATTAAAGTTATTTCAATTTCATATGTAAAGTAATATTACTTATATATTTTACTTTGAAAGATTTTGATATATGATACGTCCAATAAGAATTCTCCGTGGTCTTTAAAAGTGAGTGTAATCAAGTAAAATCAGTACTTAAAATCAACATTAATTTTATGTTTTTAATTAATTAAAAAGACTGCAACAAATGAAACAAAAATTAGCAACCGTTTGGATCATGCAGCAGTTCTTGGTAAGAGAATACTTTCTAACATATTTCGCTTACATCAAATTAAACTAACCTTTCCATTCATATTAATTTTAGCTCCTGATAATCGAAGTATTATTATATTTAGTGGCATAACAACACTCAATTATTCACTAGATTATAGATTATCTGATTACTTGATTACTTTGAATCTCGAAACATTTGAATTGTCAGAGCTTAAAACTCTAAACCAACCTAGCTTTTATGATATACCATTTCGTAGTACGGCTATTATATATAATAATTTCATGATCGTAGCTTTCGGTAATTAATTTATGTTATCAATGTTAATATTTAAGGTGGAAAAGCAATAATTAATTTTGCAATTTAAGGCTTATACGGTACTAAAAGCCCTACTCGAAAACTTGTAAAACTTTTGGATTTATCTCAAAAGGATTATATTTGGGTTGATGAGTATATCGCTCCAACCTCAACCTCAATCACACCTCCGCCTCCGTCTCCAACCTCGCCTTCAGCTTCATCATCACCATCAACTTCAACGTCAACACCCCGAAAAACTACAATAATATCAACAATAGTATCACTTATTTTGATAGTTGTGATAAGAATTATATTTTTTTGTTGTAAAAAACATAGAAATGAACAAACAGCTATCAATAGCAATATAATGCAAACTCAACCCAATATAAATATGCGCCGTTAGATCACAATAAAGCATTATCTCACAATATACCCGAAATTATAAATTAACAAACTACTACACAAGCTCCGTTTGGTTACATTTATGCTCACAAAGATCACTGAACTAGTTATAATCCTTCTTTAGCGTTTAAGCCTTAAATTACTTCATATATTAAATACATATAACAATCATTCGTATCTCCCTTGGTTTATATCCCTTTTATTTAAAACCTCATTTGTATACCCACGGTTGAGCCGGAACGGATTTTCTTTTATATATTTTTATATTCAGATATATCTTATCATCAGTTATATCCCACAAAAATTAGTATTCCAGAAAGTTATTATTCAATTATAAAGTATATAAAATTTTTATTAAGCTATTTGATCATAATAATTTTTCTTACTATCTCTTAATATTAAGTACAAAAGATAATATAGATTTTACAAGTTGAAAATTATTTGATAATAAGATTTTAAGAAAGATTTTTGACTATTAGCTCAAAAAATTATATATATTATCCTAAATTTTGTGAACACTTTCTTTTAAACAGTAACTTGCAGATATGATTTATTATTTTAAGCTTATATATTATTATAATATAAAGTAAATTTAAAATATTTGAATTACTAATTCAAAATATACAGTCAAATACATATAATATGTTAGTTTGCACCTAAAGCTCTGTTCGGGTCGGGTCGGATCGGGTTTGAGGTTAATCCGAACCGATAATCTCGGGTCGGGTCTGATCCGAAATCATAAAAATGTTTTGCGTTAATAACTTTTATTTTTACTAATACACTTGTATTTTGTGTCTAAGTAGCGTTGTTCGGAATATAATTTGTATATATTCACAAATTTTCGTTTAATTCCAATTAATATTGAACGAGAAATAACGATTTTAGGCTGACTCGAAATATTTCAGGTCGGGTTTGATCCCAATCCGGCCCGTTGGAGCACTATTTCACAAAATTCAAATATAATAATAGTAATAGAAGTATTATGTATTAATTTGAATATAAAATTGTAATTATTCAAATTAAATTATGCTACTAAAATTAATAAAAAAAGTGGGGCTTAAATAGTATTTTTTTTGATTTTAGCTTTTAAAATACTAAAAAAATTATAAATTTGATGGATTAAAAGTTATAGAAGTTTTTAATAATTCAACTTAATAATTTTCTCCTGAAATTTTTTAAAGAATTAAATTATCTTCAATCATATTTATTAAACAATTTTATGAACTAAGTATATAATAATTAGACAAACCATTCTAATCTTCATTTTTTTTACCAGTCTAAAATCAATTAAGACAAAATTACTATTATTAAATTCCACTTGATAATGCAATTTGAATGGTAATATTTTTAAACTTAAATATTCTTTGAATAATAAGTAATATTTATATATATAAATTTAATTTACTTATTCAAAGCAATATTATTATAAATACTGTATAAAATAAAAATATATTATTTAAATCTTGTTATCAAAAGATATTGTTATTATAGTAACATAAATTTCTCTAATTTGATAATCTTTCTTTGATTATACGAAATTCTCTTTTTTTTTAATTTTTACCATTTATCACCTGATTATTATTATTTTTATCCAATCATATAATCATCTCACTTTTATTTTATTATTCTAAATCTTATATTTATATTCTAAATATCATATTTATTCTCTTTTTCTTATTTCTATATACTTTTATCACCCTAAAT